TAGTCTCTGCTAGGCTCAATAGATCTAGAGTATACTGGCTTATTGCGGCGGCTGAAGTTCTCTTGGAGAGGCAACTAATTTCTAATTTAAATTCAAATCTCTCTTGTGCTGAAATTACAAGTAAGTTCAGCACTTACAAATAAGTGGGTTGTTAGTTGGATGGATTATGATTGGTTAATATTAAATATTTTACAGTGGTAAAATATCTAATTTATCCAATAATAAAATGTAGTTTAGATCAGGTTCCACTTTGGCAACGATTTGCAAGGATAGTGCTTTTTATGAAACTTATTTTGATCCAAAATTATTCCACTTCAATTTCTCTTACGCGATGATATATCCCATTTTGAGCTACATTCTGATGATTAGCCAGCAAATTCGGTCCGGAAATTTTTGTGTTTTCGAGTTTCCTTTTTGTTTCCCTTTTCGAGTTCTGACATAAGTCACCGCACCAATTCGTCGAAGTTTGTGTGCAGCCTGCTCTTCAGTTAATTTCTAATTGTTCTTCCACGCATCTACACTACACAATTTTTTTTCTTGGCTAAAAAACCTTCAATTTTTTAACCCTCTCTACGAATGCTTCCTCGCTAGTTGTCCCCCTTTTTCTCGAACTCGTCCAACTTTATCTCCAAAATTATAACATAGTAGTAAAAAGATAGTCCGTTTATATCCAGACTTGAATTTTTTGCAAGCAACGCATGTCGAATTGAAGCTTAAAATGAGAAATATCAAAAACTTATATCCGCATCTTCATCAGTTTTCTTTTTACAATTCTATTATGTCTTTCTATCACCCCATTAGAAATAGACAAATAGCGTCTTTTTTACTGGTATGTTTTTTTGTCCTCCTGATTCCTCCAAAACGGATTTTGTTTTTTTTTACTCGAATTTCCAAACTTTAAAGGGATGTATTCTATTCTTGTTCGTTCAATTTCTTCATTGCAAATCATTTTTGTTCGTAAAATTTTCTCTTCTTTTTCTTGTATTCTTTGCTTTATTTGCAGTTTCTGTCTATCCACCCGGACTTTCCAATTTTGGCGGCCAACGGCCAATCTAGTAACATTAGACTCTTTCTTCGGGGTTCTCCTCGTCCACCTCCAATTTACTTTAGAACTCACTGTAAGTTTTAAAAAGTCCCTTAATAGGTAATAGTCAATAATATTTCTCATCAACAAAAACGTTTTGGTAACAATTTGCAATGATAATGCTTTCTATAAATTTATTTTGATCCATATTTATTCCTCTTCCTTTTTTCACACACTGGATCAATCTTAATTAGTTTTTTATCGCTCCTTTTCAGTTGTCGATCAAATTTCTTTTTTTGAGCTACTTTCTGATGGTTAGCTGGGAATTTGATTTGTTTTCGAATTTCGTTTTCGTTTTGCTTGAGTTCTGACATAAGTCAACGCACCATTTCGTCGACGTTTGTGTGCAGCCTGCTCTTCAGTTAATTTCTTATTACTCTTCTACGCATCTACCGCACACAATCTTTTTTTTCTCGGCTACTATTTCCTTCAATATTTCAACTCTCTCTAGTTCCGCTAGATCTGCTTTAAATAAGTTGTGCTTTAAAGCAGAAGTTGTGCTTTAATTATTATCCTTCTTTTGAATTTTAACCTTTCGTCTGTTTTCATTGTTCCTCCTTTTAATTGTTTCCATTCTTCCTCAGTTAAGCAACATTCGATCTCCAACCGTTTTTTTAACGACAATGTCAATCTGACTGCCACTGAATCCACTCTTGTAGAAATCCCAATCTCCCTTTTTTCATCCTATCCTAACCAGCCACTATCTTCTGTTTGCTTATCCTCTGTGAAGTAACATGGGAGTTTTTGGAATTTTTCATCTGTTCTCGCAAATTTTGACTGATAGGTAGCTCATCCTCTTCTTAATTAGCTCCGACTGAGACCATTTAAAAGTTCGTGGCGAAATATCTTCTGAGCCAATATATTTTTTGCTCCAGTGATTTTGGTTAAAGCATGGAAAAAGCTAGCGCAAATGATGCTGGTTTATTATGTTTGAGAAAAATTTGCCAAAATGGCCAACTGGCGGGCGTCTATTGATTCATTATTTTGCTTATGTGGAATGTCCCTATGTGGATTGTCTTTAGGGTCCCCTTTATTTCACCTGTACCACTGTGGGGGCTGTTTGTATTTATTTACAGCCCATGTTGATGTGTTCGACTCATGATTCGACCGACACGGTGGAACGGAGTCCGATTTTCGTCGCAAATTCCGAGGGCCGAACGAACGTTATAGTCGTACAAAATCGAATCACGGGTCAAACAGGGAGCATGTGTGTTTGTTCTGTTGATGAAACAAAATTTGAAAACTGAAAACAGAACATATACATAAATGTTCTTTAAAATTATAAAACTTGAAAACTGAAAACTGGCGACAAGCCGTTGTTTCGAAAAATTGAAAACTTTTTATTAAAATGATTATGTTTACAATCACGCTGAATTTTGGAACGTAATATACTTCAAAATTACTTTTTTTCAATTTTCCTTAATTAAAATAAGCTTCAGTTCAAAATATGGATTTATTTTTATATTTTTAGCGCAGTGAAATTTAAATTCAAGTTCACAGGCCAAACCAAAATATTTTTTTCCTCCCAATTTCTTATTGTTCAAGCATTTCATAACAACTTATAAAATTATATACAAATTTTGCGACAAATTTTGTCATCCTTCGCGGACTTTCGTAAGAAAGTGCTCTATTTTCGGTTGTCTAGCTTAACACAAAAAGTGCACATCCATAACGGTATGTCGAACTGACTTTTTTGAGAATTTCAAAAACCTAGAACTGCACACCTCGACCCGGGAAGTCGCAACACTTCTGCTTTGGGTCGCGCAAAGTCACGCAAATTTTTCGGTTGCACAAAACTGCAACCTTCCCATTTCGAGCCACAATGGTGGCAACATATTTTTGGGGGTCGCACAAAGTCGCGCAAATATTTCAGTCGCACAAAGTCGCAATATACCCGATTTGAGTCGCATTGGTCGCAACATACCTTATTTGGGTCGCAAAAAGTCGCAACATACCTTATTTGGGTCGTGCAAAGTCGCAGCATATCTTCTTTGGGTCGCGCAAAGTCGCTTAAAATTTCTTTGGTTGAGCAAAGCCTCAACGTACCCATTTTGAGTCGCAATGGTCGCAAAATACCCAATTTGGTTCGCATTGGTCGCAACATAAGTCCCCAACCTCAATATTTGGGAACAAAAAATGGGCCAATTTGGGTCTGGTTGATTGAAACGTAAATCCAAAAACTCAACCTGGGCTATACGAATCTACGATGCGCAAGTTTGTGGCATTTTCTATTATTTTTTTGCGGCTACTCAGGCTGAATTTTTTGACACATGTTCGAGTTTCGCTTCGGCTAATTCCCGATAAAAGCGAAAAATTTCCGATTAAGTTGAACAAAGTCGAACAATGTCCGGTAGAGTCAAACGAAGTCGAAAAATGTTCAGTATAGTCGAACAAAGCCGAGCAAAGTCGAATAAAGTCGAGTTATGTCCGGTAAAGTCGAACAAAGTCGAAAACGGACATCGTTCGACTCAAAAAGTCGAAATCGGACTTCATTCGACTGAAAAACTTGAAACCGGATGTCTTTCGACTAATTCGGTCTAATCATGAGTCGAGCACCTCAGCCCGGGTGTGATGTACCATGAAAACGAATTCACGATAACAACGTGAATTTATGTACTAGATAGATCTAAACATAAATACAAACTATAAATACAATTATCATCAACTGAAGAAATCAAAGTAAAACGGCAGTGGAAGTTACAGAGAATGAAAACACACAAAGGAAACTTACCAAACTTTAGGCTTGTACACGCAGGAATGAACAAAACATGAAAAAATGGTAGAAAAGGAGTGAAACGTGAACAACACGTGAAAGGGGTAACGGCAAAAACAGAAATAACACATGTATCTCAATGTTGACCATTACATTCCCCCACGTTGACGGATGGTCGAAACATTAGAAATAGGTCGCAAGTTGCGCGAATGGATGTCTTGTATAGCGATGTGACGTGAGCTTTACGAGATACTTCATCATGACTCGGTATCAGCTGTTGGACACGAGCAACTTTCCACTCGCATCTAGGCACTTCAAGTCGCAACCTGACTTCAACCCCTTCTGGCGTTTCTGTAAACTTTGAAGATATTCGGTTCGCCAGCGTTTCCAAAACTGATCCGCGAGAAACTCCGTTTGTCGCCATCTTCGACGAGAATAAACATCTGGGGCTTCGAAATTGTCTGGTATTGGAGGATGTGGTTGCGATTTCTGGGTAAGCAACATAGCTGGTGTCCAGGGTTGTGGGTTGTGTGACAGGTTTGAAATTGACGTTAGTGGTGTTGCATTGATGATTGCTGCTGCTTCAGCTAGAAATGTGGATAATGTGTCGGTACAAAATTGTCTTGGTCCAAGGTCAGTTAACGTTCCTTCGATAATGCGTCGGGCGCTTCCAATTTTTCATCTCATAGACACCGCCGAAATAAGAAGACTCAACCGGGATAAAATTCCATTTGCACTTTTGAATCGCCAAAAATAATTCGACCTTCTTCTTCTCTATCTTCTCGAATTCGTTCTTTGCTCCTACAAAATTGCTTCCGTTGTCGCACGTTATTGATCTTGTTGCTCCTCGAATTGATTGAAATCGTCGTAATCCATTAATGAATGAGTCTGTTGTCATATCTGGCAGCACTTCGAAATGTACGGCGCGACTTGCAAGGCAAGTAAAAACAATTGCCCACCATTTTGTGGATGCCGAATTTCCGCGCGTCTTTCTGTTTGTGACGTGCCATGGTCCAAACACATCGAGGCCGATATCGGTGAAGGGAGGTACTTCAGATAATCTGGTTTCAGGTAGAGTGGCCATCACAGGGTACGTAGCTTGTCCTCGCATTCGTCTGCAAGTGGTGCAATTTGACAAATGCTACTTTAATGCCGCTCGAACGCCAATGATGTAGTATCCATTCTGGATGATTCTGCTGAAGTTTATATGACGACCTTGATGATAAACAGACTTGTGTGCTTCATCAATGATGAGTGATGTGATATGAGACTTTTCGGTATTATAACAGGATGTTTTTCTGGATGTGGAAGTTGTGAATGTTGCAGTCGTCCTCCAACGCGTAGGATGCCGTTGCTGTCAAGAAACGGATTAAGCTGTGCTGTGTCCTTGGGCAATGCTATCTTGTTCTCAATAGCTCGAGTTGTTTCAATCAACTGCTCCTGCTGAGTGACTTGAATAATATGGGTTTCTGCTTGGGAATACAGTAACACAAGAGGTATGTCTGAACATTGGGGTTGTCTGTATTGTAGGAACGACCGTAACATGGATATTGCGCGAACAAGTGATCGCCAGGTGGAGAATTTAGCGAATCTGTCAAGAATACCAGACTGCATCTTGGTAATTTTCAACGTTTGAATTTTTGTTTCTTCCGGCAAGAGGGTGTCTGCATCTGTAACTGTGTGTAGAATATTCAAACTGCACTGAGAGAGAACTGCTGGTCCCGTGAACCAAATTGAGTTGTTGAGTGTCTTCGGTGTAGCTCCTCTTGTGGCAATATCTGCCGGATTGTCTTTTGTGTTGACGTATCTCCACTGTTGTGCATCCGTGTGGCTGAGAATATACGTGACACGGTTGGTAACGTACTTTAAGAATTTCCGTGTAGCATTGTTGATGTAACCGAGAACAATCATCAAATCGGTGTAGCAAACGACTTGTGTGGGTGCTCGAGTAGATTCGCTCGCGAATTTTTGATACTTTGTGACAGCTGCAACTGCTGCGCATAATTCCAGTCGAGGAATTGTGTTTGCGTGAAGAGGATGAAGACGTGTTTCGCCCTGAATTAATCGTACGTTGATATTTTCGTTTTCATTCGAAGTCATGTAGAAAACGTTCCCAACGGCAATATCTGATGCATCACTGAAAATATGTAACTGGAACTCTAGGCATTGTGGGTAGATAATGAGTCTAGGAATAGATATTTTGTTGACTTCTGGCAAATGCTTGAGCCAAGCAGAAATCTCAGTTTGCATTTTCGGGGGCAGCATGTCGTCCCAAGATATAAGGGTGGCTGGATCCATCGGTGCATGTTTGATACGCTCGATGTATTGCTTTGAAGTAGCTTGCCGGGGAACTTGTCTTCCGCGCAGCAACACTGGTGCAACGAATCCAAGTGGGTCGTAAATCGAGTTGATCAGGGAAAATAGGCCTCTTTTTGTCAGCTTTATATCCAGTGGTGTGTATCTGATGCGAAAACAGTCAGAATGAACGTCCCACAATACACCAAGAACCCGTGGGACATTGGTGTCGGAAAGCGTGTTCATTTGTAACTCTTGCGCAACTTCAGTTGGCGCGAATGCTTGCAGGACTTCAGCGTGGCTGGACATCAGTTTATGCAGCCGAATGTTGTAATTAGACAAGGCACGTCGCGTTGATGCAATAATATGTATAGCATCATCAACTGTATCAAAACTACCGAGCCCGTCGTCAACGTAAAAGTTCCTTTTGATGAAATTCATCACGTCTTCGTCTTCGGCAATATCTGCTACAAAGTGTAAGCAATGTATCGCCACTCCAGGGGAAGAACGATTGCCGAATAAGTGAACCCGCATACGGTACTCAATGATGTCAATTACAGGATTGTTGTCTTCCCACCAGAAGAAGCGTAAGAAATTCCGATCTTCAGGATTAACGTAGAAACAATGAAACATACTCTCAATATCTCCCGTAACTTCCACTTGATTCTCCCGAAAACGGCAAAGCACACCGTACAAGCTGCTGTTTTGATCGGGACCTTGTAGGAGGTGATCATTAAGACTCGTTTGTTGAAAGTTAGCTGATGCATCGAACACAAGTCGGAGTTTCTTTTTCCGTGGATGATAAACTGGAAATACAGGTATATACCATTTTGGATTGAAGTCCAATTCTTCACGTGGTACTGGCTCGGCGTGTTGCTTGTCAATGAACTTTTGCATGAATTTCTGTGAATCTTGCAGCTTTTGCGGTTTGTTCTTGAGATTGCTCAGTGTCCTTGTTGTTCTGTTGAGAACTTCATGTTTGTTGTCGGGAAGCTGTGGTTTACTTTGGGACTTGAACGGCAATGAACATTTCAAGAATCCAGTATTGCTGATGTGGATCTCTTGCTTCATTTTTTCCAGAAACAATTTGTCGTTTTGCGATGCAGATTCATCTTCTTGATCTGTAGTTTAGTGGTATGGGTCAGACGCGAGGGCATCCTGTTTGCTGTTGTTTATGCTGACTGGGTGAACAGTGTGCTTCAGTATGATGCGGAGGCAACTGTATTCTCGGAGGAGTTTATAAACTGTGATTTTGTTAGCTGGGTTGTTGTCACGACAGATGGGGCCAAGAAGTGTCCAGCCAAGTCCTATCCGATGAGCATACGGCTCATAAAACGCGCTGTTCTTTACTTCGTGTACTTTGATCACTTCAGATGCGTCTCTGCCAATTAAAAGGAGTGTTTTGAGCTTTCGGTCTTGTTCTTGTGGTAGAAATTGTCGAATCGACTTCAGGTGCTGCCAATCCGCGCTGTCTTGCTGTGTACCTTGTTCCTTTGATGCGTCCGGTAGCTTATTGCATTCGGTGATGTTGTTCAATTCGAACGTGTAATTGGAAGTGCCTTTGACAAGTAGCTTCTTGGTTAGTCTCCCAGTATGGTGTGTCTAAGCTGCTGTGAGTGTCGTCTGTATGTAGTCGACGTTAATCGTATCCAGGCCAAGTTGCTGAAAGACTTCGGGTGCTGCGAGTGTTGAATTAGACTAATCGTCAATTATTGCCAATCCTCGAATGCTTTTCTTCTTACTGTTGAGCGCTGAGATGGTGACCACAGCAATCTTGCTGCAAAGACGAGGTGGCTGGCTCCTGCCACACAGTTTGGTTCATGCTGCTGCAAGTGAAGGTACCGCAGAATCTGGTGGGCTATCTGAAGTTGCGCCAGCATTCCGATAGTTGCCTGTGCAGGCTGTAGCGTCAGGTGTCCCTCTGTTGGAGTGTAGGAGATAGTGATGTCGTTCGGATTTACATTCCCGACAAGATTCGGTTGAATTACAGTCCTTAGCATGGTGCTTCCCAAAACACCGAAAACAGAGTTTATTCTCCTTGATAATGTCAAGCCGACTGCCAACGTTCAGCTTCTGGAACTCTCTACAATTTGTCAGAGTGTGGTTGCTTCGAATCTTGTGTAGAGGACATGTAGTTTGGTTTGAGGGTGCGGCTTGGTTGAAAGATGTGGGTACATCTGACTTGAAAATCCTCTTGTCCTTCGTAGTCTTCATGTTGTCTGCGTGGTTCTGATACAAAGAGAGTGTGTTTGAGAACGTCTGTACTTGCTCAGCCAAGAACTTGCAGAATTCGGCGAAGGGTGGGTGTTTGTCGTGTTCGTGGGTACTGTATCTGTATACAACTGACTGCCACTTGTTCCGGATAAATTGTGGTAGCTTATGGAAGAGTGGTGCAAGTCCTTGAGTGTAGTTCAATACGGCGAGATCGCTGACATGATCCATGTGAAGAAGAACAATTTCGCATTCATTGTGAAAGTCAGAAAATTTTGTCATGTCTGTCCCGATTGCAGGCAAGCCGTGTAACTTATCCTGAAGGGCCTTCGCAATCCGAGCTGAACTTCCAAACGTGCACGAGAGTTCTTTCCATAGCTTCTCCACTGCTTGCTCGGGGTCAAAACCGGCTGCTATCTTGAATCTGCTGACTGTAGTAAGCGCCGAGTCTCTAGTATGGAGTTGCAGGAGATCTAAAGTTTCGACCGGTGACAGCTCAAATGTGTCAATAAAACGCCTCATCTTCATCTCCCAGTGTTTATATTCTAAAGCATTGCCGTTGAATGGTTGATTTGGGGCTGTAAATGCTTTTTTTTCATCAGCAGGCGTGGGACAACATCATGTGGCGACGAAACCGATTTGTAGACTGGTGCTTGAGGATTCAATTGTTGATTGTTTTGCTTCGGTATCACAGCATCCTGTGTGCGTGACTGGAAATCTGGCTGCCATTGGCATGTTTGATGAGCTGCAGGCCGGCAATCGTCGTTGTGGCGAGCGTTATGAACAGAGATTTGATTCGGCGGCGGCTGTGGTGGCATACTGTTGAAGAACCGATTTATGTTTTCCATTGGAGACAAGATGCTAATCGGTGTGTTTGGTTGCTCCCGTAGGGGCTTTACGTCGGCAATGTTGCTGACTGCCAAACCGTGGAACGTATCGAGTTGGTCGTGACGTTCGTTGACGCACTGAGCCTCGCAGGTGACATTTGCAGCATCATAATGACTAAAAAAATGAACGCTCTGTGTGTCTAAAATTTCGCGCAAAGGTTGGTATGCGTACTGCGCTGCTTCGTTATTGTAGTTTTCAACAGTTGGTTGCTTTGAACACATGCTCGATTCAGGCATTCCGTATGATGACGTGTTGGTCTTAGACATTTCACTTTTCTTCGTTTTAGACTTTGAGGACAAACTTGTACATACTTCGGATTGAACGCGTAGCTTCTTTACAAACAAATTTACCTTCTCATCCATGTCAGATATAACGTCAGCGTACTCGCGTTGTTCATTAATAGCTCCTCGATGGCTCAAACTTCGTTTCAAATCAATATACGTGGCAAAGAAACTGGCATGAACTGAATCTATGTTTTGCAGTACTTGCATGACCGAAGAATCGCTGTTTGATGTCGGATGGCGTAACAGTTCCTCCAACTCGTCGCATAAACCCTCAAACTGCATGCGGAGCTGTGACGTTGGTGCAAGACGATGTCGAATGGGACGTGTCTTCGGCAGCTCCCCATCCAAGCCATCTCGAGTGTTCTCATTGAGTTGATTGCTGTTTGACATCACAGAATTGGACTTTATACTTTGATGATCCTTCGAATAAATTCACTGTGATGTACCATGAAAACGAAATCACGATAACAGCGTGAATGTATGTACTAGATGGATCTAAACATAAATACAAACTATAAGTATTATTATCATCAAAAAAAGAAATCAAAGTAAAACGGCAGTGGAAGTTACAGAGAATGAAAACACACAAAGGAAACTTACCAAACTTTAGGCTTGTAGACGCAGGAATGAACAAAACATGAAAAAACGGTAGAAAAGGAGGGAAACGTGAACAACACGGGAAAGGGGTAACGGCAAAAACAGAAATAACACATATAACTCAATGTTGACCGTTACACCGGGAGTGCTGGTTTTCTATTGGAGATAAACCCGGTCGGTATAACAGCCTCGGCTGTAGCAAAAAGCGAAACCATAAATGCCAGAGTTGGCTGTTCCTGATTTAGGCAAGTTATCAGACCAGTTGCAGTCAATTTGTTTGATGGTGTTAGTTGCAATAAATCATTTCACAGAATTTTTGAACATTTTTTGCTTAAAATTAAAAGATTTTAAAAACAGATGTATTTTAAGCGGCTAAGCATACATGATTAACTCGAAAATAAACTTCAAATTTTTTCTAATATAATTGGAAATGTAAATATCACGACAGCACACTATACTTTTTCAACATGACTAAAAAACTGAAAAACATCCAAAATCGGACACCAATTCAAATTAAGTTATAGAGACTCGTCCAAAAAAAACTATGGCAGCTTTTGAATTTTTACCCATTTTCATGCTTTTTTGTGGGGAAAAAATGCTTTCTCAGAAAACACTGCAAGACCAAAAAAAACTGAATGAAGCTTGAAGCATTTTTTACAATTCACTGAGCTCTGCCTTGAATTTAGATCATTTTCAGAGTAAGCCTAAATCCTCCATATGAAGAAAAGTGTTCACATCATTACAATGATTTTTATCTCGTGAAAGCTTTTATCTATTTTTTTTGTTTCAAAGCGTGAAAAAATAAAAAAATTCACAATGCAAAGTACAGTATAGTTACCATGAGTACAAATGATAAATTAGAAGTTACAACGGGTTCAAAAGCCAAGTACAATTATTCGCATCCAAGTTTACCACAACCAGCTCAAAACCCTCTACCCCGAGAAACTCTTTCATCTTCGGACGTGTTCAAAAAGGGGTTTCCAGACTTGGGCCGTCTTAGAGGACATTTGTCTAAACAAGGCAGACTCGAAGTTTCTTGTGTTTTGAGGATTTTCAAGCAAGCAAAGAAACTTTTAAGCCGCGAGGAAAATGTGCTGGAACTGGAACAGCCTGTCATTATGGTTGGCGATATTCATGGGCAGTTCTATGATTTACTGAGATTACTCGACCTTGGTGGTCCTTTAGGCAGTCTTAGCCCAACGAATCAATATCTGTTTTTGGGAGATTATGTCGATAGAGGGATGTTCGGAATGGAATGCATTATTGTCTTGTGTGCTTTGAAAATTGCATATCCGAAGAAGATGCATTTACTCAGAGGTTAAAAAATCTATTTGCATATAGTCACAAGCCATTTTTATCTAATGAAGGATCGTTTCATCTATTTTCTTGTCAAACAAAATTATAATTTTAGCTTATGTGTTATTAAATTCTATCATCATTCTTCACTATAATGTGTTATTAAATTCTATCGTCATTCTTCACTATAATAGAGATTGTTAACTATCCAACCCCCCCCCCCCCCACCCTCACCGCTTTAACTTTTAACAACTTGCCTAAGGGAATTGTTTTTTCTAAAAGTTTTTCTATATAGTTCAAAGAAGCTCGAGTTGCGGAATTTGTGCTTTTTGCGCAGAGAGAACGGTCGTATTTTGCTTGACAAAAGTAAGGGACTTGAGTCCGGCAGAAGGTACTTGTCCATTTCCAATCACAAAGTTTTCTGTTTGGAAGATGGTAACGCATTTCTCTACTTGTTGTCAAAGATACCGCAGTGCGAGCTTTTTTTAAAAAAACTCAAGTTGGGGTTCCAGTTTAGTAATGGGTCGAAATTCTCTTTCCAAGTATTTAGTAACGGGTCGAAATTCTTTTTCCAAGTATTTAGTAACGGGTCGAAATTCTTTTTCCAAATAAGGCAAGTATTTAATTACAGACTTTTCAACGCTACAGATAACGTCAGACAAAAAGTGCAAGAAAAAGAAAATGAGTTTTAATGTTTGATTAGGCAACCACGAATGTCGCCACCTGACTCGCTATTTCTCCTTCAAAGTGGAGTGTCTGCACAAGTATAACGAGAGAGTCTACAATGCATGTATGGACATGTTCGACCACCTCCCCCTGGCGGCCATAGTGAACAACCAGTTCTTCTGTGTCCATGGGGGTCTGTCTCCACGCATTCAGCACATCAAAGACATACAGAAGATCATTAGAGTCAAGGAACCCGACAAGCACGGTAGGAGAACTTCCTCCCTCCTTCCTCCCCTTACGGTTGAAGTTGAGCGGTATGTCCAAACTATCGACCAAACTCTGATGTTTTCCAGGTTTTTGCTACCAAAAATGGGCAAATTCAGAGTATAGAGTAAATTTTCTGAAGCTTAATGATTTCAGACACTGAAATCCAATGAGATATGCCAACGAATTTTGAGATTAAATGAAAGTTTCCAGCGACCAGCACGAGCGGCACAATCGAAACTAAATTATCCACGACTAACACGAGCGTAGAAAAACGGAGCGTGACCAAAAACCAATTCTTCTGCGACTCTCAAAAAGCAAATTGATGCCAATTCTTCCAAACTTATCCCAAATTAATGCCAACTTATCCCAATTCTTAGAACTTTTTTCATAAGAATAAGAAGTAACTAGAGTTGTGATTACCAGGCGATGCTATGACGGATCTGATGTGGTCCGACCCTACAAGGAACTATGGGAAAGAGAGGGAGGGAAAAGTGGAACACTTCTCCTTTAACAAACTCAGACGCATCTCTTTCTTCTACTCTTACGCTGTATATATCAACTTAACACCCCCCCCCCCCCTTTCCCTCCCCCATCCGCTCCCCCGATATACCAAGTTAAGATCCTCCAACGCAGCTTTTTATGTAAATCAGTAGCGTGCCGGGGAGAGGGGGAGAGGGGGTTAACCCGAACCACCCCCCCTTCCCCCTCCCCATTAATTCTGGTTGCCAAATTTTCCCTCCCCTCAATTCTGGTTGTCATTTTCTTTAAAAAAAGTGCTCCTGTCTTTTTTTCAAAACCCTCCCCCCTAGAAAAATTTCTGCGCACGCCTCTGATTTGAATTCAATCTGTTAAGCATTGAGGGTAAAATGCTTGACTATGATTGACAGAAATTTCCAACTTTAAAGGAAGTTGACATCCTCCCCTCCTAAACTGTTAAGGGGGGTTTGTGTTAACTTGGTCCCGCAGTAAAACTCTTTTACTGATCTTTCTTCACATCTACCAGGCAAAAAACTGCTGTAGAAATCTGCTGTTAGGGAGCTGTAAAAAATTGCTTAATAAAGTCTGCACGTAAGTTTGGATTGGTTGTTTTGGAATACGATGCCATCCGACAATTTTTGTTAGCTAAAGCGCTCAGGAAATAAAATAGTAAACGCCTTTGACTTTCACCCAAGTGCATTTGCTTGCATTTACATGGAAACTTATTTATTATCATCCTAATTTTGCGCTGATTGAATTCAAGTCCAGAATTAATTTTCCACCATCCCCCCATCGCTGTTTTGATTGTATTTATACTTTTTACTAGGTTTAAGGGAACTATAATGGGAAAAAAAACTTTTCTGCAAACTTTTCAATTTTCAACTATACATAGGCAGTGTGCAACTTCTTGAAAGAGAACGACCTTCTGTGTGTGGTGCGTGCTCACGAGGCCAAAGACGCTGGCTTCCAGATGTTCCGCAAGAGTCCCTTCTCCAAGTTCCCCTCCCTGATCTCCATATTCTCAGCCCCCAATTACTGCGACACTTACGGCAACAAGGGAGTCATACTGTGTCTAGCAGACGGGCAACTCAACATTAAGGTGATAGAACTCTTTTTCGATCAACCACAGAAACTCCCTCACCGTCGCCAAGCAATTAAAATAGGAAAAATCGATTACGTCAACGCGAGAATTCAAGGAGCAGATTCATTGAAGCGCAAAACGAGCAGCAGTCAATGAGTGTTTTGGAATAAAATATCAAAGAGCATCTGGAATAAAAGTAATTTTCAACAAAAACAATTAACGGGAAGTTTCATTACAGATTTAGAAAATGTATCCTACCGAGTTGAGGCATTTTTTTGGTCCAATTAAAATTTTGCTCAAAAATATCAGTTTATACTTGGTTTTTGTGAGGGTCTTGGATAGCTTCAAATTTGGATAGCGTCCAAAAACCTTCTCAAAAAAAATTTAGCGTTTTCAAAATTTCATCATTGCTTAAAACCAACAAGCCATACGAGCCTTCTTGTGCGATTTTATATCTATCTGTGGTTTTGAGAAAGTGTTTGTAACTTTTTTTCTTGATGTCTATCGTCTTGAATTTTTCATCAGTTATTTAAAAGTAGATGAATGTAGTTCAAACTCTTATAAAGGTCTTCATGATTTATTTTTCATCAGTTATTTAAAAGTAGATGAATGTAGTTCAAACTCTTATAAAGGTCTTCAAGGTTTGAACTTTGATTTCTTTTTAAGTTGAGCTTATATCTTTTGTTAATAAAAGGCAAACTCCACTATCGAACAGCGAAAGTGTGAAGGTCACAAAAAAGTGTCCGACTTCTAACTTCGAAACTAGATTTTAATTATCAGATTTCCCTGCGAAATTAAAACGCACACCCTTCAATCCAATTTTCTCAAATTGAGTTTATTTTATCAAAAAAAATCTATCACAAATTGTTATAGAAGTTCTAAGGGCCTTGAAGCCAGCAATTTGTTTTAGAGGAAACTCGAAAGTCATCGAAATTGTTTTAAGTAAGCAAGCAAGTATTTTGTTTGTGACTTGCGTTCCTTGTTTCTTTTCAAACTGTATCTTGCTTAGGTTTTCTTAGAAATCAACCGCAACAATTGTAAAAGGAGCAAGTTAAATTATCATGAATTTTGTTATTTTATCAAGTTTTTAAATGAAGAAGCTAGCAAATGTTTGTTTTGGAAGTTTTTTATATTGAATCCAGGTTCGAATATATTTTAATTATTGAGAGGCTAATGCTGTATTATGTATTGATCCTACAGATGCTTTTTTGAACATCAAAAAGCTTTGTTTTGGAAAACTTTACGGCATTTAGAAACAATTCTGCAAAATCACGACAAACAATTCTGCTGCTAGAAACTTAGTTTTATTTCAGTTTTTAGTCGTAAGTATATATCTGAAATAATTTCACATGAGAGATAAGTGCGACATTCACCATTAATCATTTCGATGTTTCCAAACTCTCGCAAAAAAAAAATCTTTTTCGATTACTTGCTAGACTTTTCCAATCAATGCAATTTTCTACGTTTTAAATTGCTTTATCATATTCAGGGGCAATTATTATACTAGAAAAACATAAGATCGTATCAACAGTGAATATCACTGGCTTTTTTCTATAGCTAGATATTTAATGAACATAAGAAAAAAAAACAGGAATACTGAAAAACCCTACGAAATACAAAAATTAAATTTTCCAACATTTCCTGTTTAAAAGCGTCCGGGTTGACCTCCATACACCGAAAATGCGTATCATACGTTTCCATACAACAAAAATCATTATCATACAAATCCATACATCAAGTGTGCGGAGAAAATGCTTGTCATACAATTTTCATACATTTTCGAAAAACAATAGAAAAAAAATTAACCCATTTCTGCGGCTTTTTGAGAACAGTGGAACAGACTGGTGAGAAGAAAAACTGATTTAAAATATTTTTTTTTGAAAAAATTGCTTTCCATACAATTTCCATATATAGAAATTGTATGACTGGCATTTTTTGATGGCGACACAAAAAATTTTTCAAGCTATTTTGAAAATTTGCCCCAAAAGTTTTTTGTTTTTTTTTTCAACCGCAAATCGATTTTATACTCGAACAAACATTTTCCGAAAAATTAGTCCTTGATACGATAATATTGGCTAATTTTTTCTTTTCACTTAAAATTTTTTTTCAAAAATGCTGAAAATTTTTACTTATTTTGAATGACGTGTTTATGTATGCCTTGATCAATGTCTGATAATTCGAAAACTCAAAAATTTAAAAATAATCATCACTGAAAAAATTTGTCAAAAGTTAAAAGTTTGTTACTTTTGTTATATTATTTGTGAAAGACATCTAGAAGACAAATCAGGTCGTTTATCATGCAATGACAAATAGTGACAAGTGACAAATACCAAGGTCTTTGTCACTAGTGTTCGGTTGCAAACACAACCCAAAATTTTCCAGAAAATAAATTTAGAAACAAAAAACCACTTTTTGGTTTCTGGAGAAAACACCTATCATACAATTTCCATTTATGGGAAAATGTTTATTATAGAGTTTTCATACAATTTTCTGTACGTATGGAAATGTATGAAATTGTATGAAAACAAATTTCCCTTTTATAAGAATTGTATGATAAGCATTTTTGATCAACCCGGGCGTTGAGCTGTTTAGTTCATGTCTCTTACGTAGCTCACAATATTATTTTCTTTGTTATCTGTTGTTCAGATGGTTTTTCAAACACTAGAGTAGCCATCTTCTGATTTCTTATGTCGAATGTTTTCTTGAAACTGACTACAATGTTTCACTGAAGTTGCTTTCATAATTTTTTCAAACTGACTCAGCAAATTGGGATCATGTTAACTATCCCCCCTTCCCCCCTATGTTACCTTGTAAAGAATCTCCCCCCTATAAAAACACAATTCATTCATGCTCAGCTGGATTGGTTTTGTACTTCTCAGAAATGTGTTCTGTCGCATTCATATTAGTTGACGTTATTTCAATTCGCATTCCTATTGGTTGACGTTATTTCAATAAACTTCATCCAAACTTTATTAACTATTTCCCCCTTATTGCAATTGGGGGGAAATAGTTAACATGATCCGCAAACTGTTTAACATATCACCGCAACCAAAAAAAATTGCATATAGTCCAAAAAAATTGCATATAGTTCTTAAGCAGGGGCACAACAGCGGTTCGCCGTGATGAGCTGTACAGCTCGTATGTTGGTCCTATCCCTCGTGGATAAATGATCTTACTCTTACTAATGTCTCCTGTCTCATCTTTGTAACTTTTCCTAGACATTCCTGGACTCCCCCCACCCCTTCTGTCTGCCCAACTTCGAGAATGGCCTCACGTGGTCCTTCCCCTTTGCAGCCAACATGGTCACCAAACTCCTCTTCGATATCTGCGAACTCTGCACTGAGGTGAAATTACATTACTATAACACATTTTATTGGCTCTTATGCTACCAGTTACACCCAATCAGATATAGACAATAATTTATGGTGTAATTCTGGTTTTGCGAAGTTGGTTATGATGATCAAATACGTGTATAATTAAGTAATCACAACACAAAACCATTTCTCATTGCAAAAAAAAAATATAAGAAATTTAGGTGTGAGAAAACAGAAGAAGAGCAAATTTATTTATAGAGAGTTGATTTAAACTTTGATAATGTTGGTCTTTCTTTTTGATAGACCAGTTGATTTTTTGGCCCGGGAAAGACCCTAGTTTTTTGGTATTATTTTTATGTTCTTATAGGAGGAACTGGAGGCTGACGGTGTCGCCCACTCAGAGGAGGCTGGTAGGATCCGTGTGCTGAGGAACAAAATGAGAGCCATAGGCCGAATGCGCAGATACTACAACATGCTAAGCGAGAAGAACGGACTCATCGCCCAACTAAAAGGTTTTGTCTGCTTTAATAGTCAATATATTTGAAAATTTAACACCTATAGACAGGGGCGGATCTAAGATTTTCTCGAGGGGGGGGATTTCAAAAAATTTTCAAAAATTTGGTCGACCTTTTATTAAATCGACCAAGTTGATTTTTCGAGATCGCTCAAAGCACCAAAAAGACCCTGTTTTGGCCAAATTTTCTGCACCGCAAGCGGAATTTTGAAAAAACAGGCCAAACAGGCACTTTTTGGAAAATTTTGACCAAAATGCTGCGTTTTTAGGCGCGCGTTCCCCCCTCAAAATTGGCTCTGAAGACGCCTTCAGAAAATCTTTTCTTCGTTTCCGTCGCCAAAATGAATATCTCAAATTATACCAAAGGGGACCTTTGTTATCTCAAAAAAGTATGTCCCCCGGCCCCCCTCCCCCAAATCCACCTCTGCCTATTCATGAAGAACTAATTCAATGATTAAGTATATGCGACTGTTACAACTCTTAATGAAATTCACCCTCCATGCCGTAAAAAAGGATAACATCCAATTTTATACAGAAAAAAATGCAGATTTCTGTTCATGTTTACATGAAAAAATGCAGATTTCTGTTAATTTCTGAAAATTGCTTGCAACAAAAACAGCAAGGGTCGCGATAGTCGCGCCGGTTAGCGAACGAGTTTGCTATAGTTTCACCGGTTTGTACTTTATCTTCGCAAACATTATTTGTACATTCAGTAGCGCTGAAAGGAATTTTTTTCCTAATTTTCTCTTCCTCCACTAGGCTTGAACAGTGGAGTAACAACGCAGTGGAGTAATAATCACATCAAAGTTTCAGATTTAACTCTAGCCATTTCGGGCCGGTACCTCAACCCGTAAATCAAATTACCCATTTTATAATGTTAAGATATTGTAGCTAGGTTTGTAAAAACAATGTCCAACAACTAAAAGAATAAAAAATTTATAAGATATGTTGAAATAAAATATCTACTCTAGAACTAACACGAACAGTAAATGATCGACCGACAGTCGATTCATCTGGCGAGTTGACTGGTATCTAATCAATACCGAGGATCCAAATGACAAAAAACTAAAAAAAATCAGAACATTTCTCAAAGGAAAAAAATTTAAAAATTTTAATTAGATAAAACTGATTCCATATACATCCGTTTCCCTCTTTAATGTAGTTTCAACAAAAAGACAAACTGCACTATAAATAAAACAAATAAACAAATGTACACCCAACTTAAAAAATTATTTAAAGTGATAAGTAAAAAATATATAAATTCTAGTTTGTTTTAAAAGAAGATATGAAGGAGTTTTAATTGAAATTTGAATTAAAATTTTCTAAACTGCTTCTAAGCTCTCTGTCAATCGTTGCAGAAGAGTTACTTGTGTCGTCGGTACTAGAATGATCGCAGAAGATGTTAGCTGGGGTGTGGGAGTTGATCCGCTGAGGGAAATTGATAATGCTGTCTGTAACGGGGTTTGACTCGTCCCAATGGGCTGCAGTTTAAGGAGGACCAATTTTTTGTGGTTTTGGCGACTAACGTTCGTTTCATGGGTAGATCGATTAGTGGAGCTTAAATTTCCGAAGGTGATTGAAACGAGAAGCTGGCTGTCATAGGATCGTTGATCAGATTTTCGTCTAATATGATTACTTGCAGGTCTTGTGACTCCTTCTCTGAGACCTTGTTGACGAAACCTTGAGACTTTGTTTTAATGGTCTTGCTTGGGGTTCTCCAGGTGAAAATTGATCTGGAGAACTATCCATGTGAATCGGATCGCCTTCTATTTCCTTGCTGAATAAAGTGCCAGGTTGTTCTCGATATGCTGGAGGTACCACCGGTCCACTTAGTTGAACCTGGGAGTGATCTGTGAGTTCGCCACCTGTAAAACTTAAGTAATGGTTAGAAACTGTCGGAGCGTACTGAAAAACGGGAGCGTTATTGTTATCGACGTCGTCGAATAGTCGTCGATTAGCGCATCCGAAGAATTTAAACTTCGCGAGGAAGAGGAAACTGAAGTGATCTGTGGGGACTTGTGTATCACCACTATCTCCGCTGGAAGCTGAGCAATTCCTTGGTTAAAACAGGTCTGTCCGTACTCTAGGTGGCTTTCAGGGGTGTTCTCACTTGTGCCTTTCTTGGAGGAGACAGTTTCCTTTTACCGGCTAAACTTGAAGGTTCGTTAAAATTCGGTCCCATGGGTGTTGGTATGAATGAATTTTTATTAGGGTCGGGATGCAATTTTCCTTTGTAGGTCAAATCTGATTTTGCCAAAATGTGGCCGTTTGCGAGTGTGGTTGTGTTTTCTGAGGAGTCGATGACGTTCTCTTTCGTCAAGACAAAATCTGGTTTCTTTCTGTTAGCCGCCCTTTTTCAAAGCTTACCGCCAGAGCAAACTTCTTCGGGTATCCGCGGACTCTTTCGGTTCTTGAGCTAGGGGCAGTAGTGGTTTCGGTGCGACCTGCCTCAAGGGGAGGATTATCATCAGATTCCGTCAAAGAGTCCATGTCTGCATCCTGGTATCCATCTTCTGCTTCTTCATGTAGCTCCCAGTTTTTGTCGCGTTGGTCCGAAATGATTTACTTCCCTTCATCCAAATGGTTAGCAAAAGAACTCTCCATCTGATTTTTTGCGTTTCGATTAAAGTTTTTCTCAAAGGGGGTGCGTTCTATTGAAGGCTGCTGGTAATTCTCAGGTTTAAAATAATAGTTTTAATTGAAGAGTTTAGAGTAGGTTCTGTCGAACGATATGGCCAACAATTTAGATTTTACAGTAGATACAATAAACTCTACAATTCCGTTAGAGCTATAATCTCCAACTGTACAATAAATAATTTTAACATTGATTTGTAACAAAATGATTTAAAAAGTGAGGGACCCATGTTCTACTCAATTTTCTGTAGGAAATCTATGGGGATAACAATCATCTTTTAAAAATGAAATAACAGAATTTGAAGTCGTGCTACTCACCACTTCGGCAGAAGGAAAGTTCGTGTAACGATCGATGCAAAAAAGTACGTTTTTCTTTGTTGCTTAAAAAGCGTCTAACGGTCCTGCGATACAATATTAATTCCTCGTTCGCAAAAAATAAGTTTGGTAACTTCGTCGTGCAGTCCGTTCCTAAGAGTACATTCATGTAGGGTGGGAATGGAGGAGTTATGACTTAGTTGGCTTTCATGCGAGGGAGCAGGTCTGATACTTTAAGAAAAATGGTGAAAGGAACAAAATTCAGTTAATGTGTAACATAAAAGAAGTAACAAAAACATCAAATTTGCGCAAAAAATTGAACAATAAGTTACCAACTAAAATTCAATACGTAAAAAAGACTTTACGTCCGTTGCATTCGCAACCCAAATAAGTGGGAAAAGTATCGATTATAAAATAGTTTCTTTGCCAGTATCCACAAAATGAGAATAAAAATCGATTTTAAGGCTTTGATAACGAATTTTCTTGCCTCGAAAAATAGTTTCTTATAACTCATTTATAATTGATTATAACCGAATTTTTTTCAATTTTGCGGACACTGACAATATAAATCAACTTTAATTGATTCTTATTCATGGAACTCCAATCGGGTAGAGCGCTGGTTACATGCGCTCTTATCAGCTTAAATAATTAACTTCCGGGTTAGGTTTTCAAGTGACAAAAAAAGAAAAAAAAAATTAAAAATTTCTGCTCAGTTTTGGTTTTTAATTGTTATCTGATCAGCAAAATTGGAATTTTCGTGTTGCATGGTGACAGATTTGCAACTGAGTGATGATAAACTGTATGCTAAACAGAAAATTAAAGAATGCGTGTACAAGTTTATGTGTAAAACATACTTCAAGAAGTAGAAAAGTGTGATATGCGTTGCGATATCCAATTGAAAACAAGTTGTAATTCAATACTTTTATTCAGAAGATTGAATTTAGATTTTTCTTTTCTTTGTTTTCTTATGACTGAGAGATAGATCGTTATTCAATACTCTGATCTCTCACTTAGTCTCAGTGTCATCACTTATGTATGACCTTGAGCGTACCAATAAATAATGATTTAACACCAGAGGTTGGCTGTACATCCGTATAGTGAGTACTGCTACTGCAGTAGCGGTATGACACACCCCCCTCGGTGAAAGAAATAAATTATACAACATCAGTAGGATAATTTATTTAAAAGAGTTTTAATTTACTCAGTTCGAAAGAAAGTTCTTAAGATGGATGACAGTTTTTGGATTATGTCGATCTCAATTTTCCTCTAGCTCAATTTCCCAACTCGGGTTCCAATCTACTCCTTCATCTAAAGTGGCATATCCGAATTTTCGCATAAATAAATGTCTTTCGAGTCGCCGCACTTTTGATTCCAAAGGTCTGTCTTCCCGATCTTTGAACTCTCTCAGCTGGTTTCTGTATTCTTTAAGTGCCTCGTTCAACAGACTTCTGCCTGTAAGATTTTCGGATATTTCTTTGATTGAGTGTTTTATCGGATCTCCGAAACGTTTGGGTTCTTTATTTTTTGTTTGTCTTGAACTCCGTCGAACACCTGACTCTTCCGCACTTGATTCGTCCGAGAATCCTTGTGGTGGTTCGAAATTCGTATCCAATTCTGAGCCTTTTTGAGGATTTTCTCTAAGTTCATCCGCAACTCGCTGCACTCCTCTTTTTAATAGCTGGTCCGCGTACTTTTCCCAGTCAGATGGCGCCAAATTTCTATTGTGAAAAGTCTCCACTATATCTTCAAGAGGGGTGTGCGCGTCAATGCCCTTCAGTTTTGGACGCTGTTTGGTTTTCGGCGTAGAACTCGACTGGGTTTTGGTATCTACTGTGACCGAATCCGGCTTAGACATTGCTTGCTTTTGTTCCGAGTTGACTGCAGTCGCAGTTTGATTTGCCAATGTCACCTCTTGTTGTCTGCTTCGGCCTTTCTTCTCTTTTCCGCTTTTTTCTGGCCTATTCGTGATTATTTCCTCTGATGAATTTGGTCCCGCCAAATTTGGTTTTGCTCTTTTTATAGCAAGATTCAATCCTCCCCCGGCTTCTGTGTCCTTAGAAGTGACGATTGTTTGACTCTTCTGAAAACGCTCTATTGGGTCCATTTCATTTGCAATTTCCATTTCTCCTTGGAGTTCGTCCTCCGATTCCAACTCCTCTAGTAGTTCTGGAGACTTGACTCGTTTGAACTTTTTTGTAGGTTCCGACGATGGACTTTTACTTGTGCTTCTCTGTTTATCTTGTGTAAGTACGGTTTTTGATTGAGCTATGTCCGATTTTCTATAGATCGAACCGGCCGATGTCTTGATTGTTGATTCTGTTTCTGAAGCTATTTTCCCCTTTAGTGGTCTGGTTAGGGCTTGTCCGCTTTTCCTTAGGGGGTCCTTTCTAAGTATTGTCTTGGGTGGTGACTTGCATTGATTTTCGACTTTATCTTCCACAAATCCTTTTTCCCAAGAGTAGATCATTTCTTTTCGAAGGTCGGGATTGAGTTGGCCTGTCTCGTCCACTAGTTTCCTGATGTCATTTTTAGCTGCATCCCTTCTTTCGTAGTTCCACCGGGCGTTTGCCTCCAACAATTCCTTTAGAGCTTTAGCTCTTTCTTTGTCTCTGTCCGATGTTAGCTGCTGCTTGTGCAGTGGGCTTGTATCCCTGCTCAGTTGTCCCTTACGCACTATCTTGAGATTCTCTCTTGACTGGTCAATCCTTCTTTTCATTTGAGACGCAGTCAGTGCTGAGCGTTCCAAGTGTTGTTTGTCTAAAGAATCAGAATTATTTAAAAACCTATCCCTCACAATTTTAAATTCTGTTTTTGGTAGTCTGCCGAAATGTGCTTGGAACGGGGATACTTGAATTATTTTCTGCTTGTTCCATCGTAAATCTCGCATTATAATACTGAGACATAATTTGATTGATTTATTATTTTCATCGAGCATCATCACTCCCAGTCTTCTCTTTATTGTTTGAATTGTACGTTCCACCAACCCACAACCTCTGTGATCCCCCACCGGACAGAATTTTTGCTCGATATTGAGTTCCGAACAAAATTTTTTTAGAGTTTTCCCCTTAAAGCCTGAAAATTGATCCGAACGAATTGATTCAGGGACTCCATGAGTGTCAATATATGATCTCAAGAATTTTACTGTGCTTTTTCCGCTTGTGGATTTTGTAACCTTCACCGATGGAAATTTTGAGAATCTATCAATAGCTACTAGAAGATAGATTTTTTTTCCCTTTTGATTTTCTATAGGCCCCGCATAGTCTAGTTGTACCTCCTGTCCCGGCTGCGTGAGCAGTGGTAGTGGTTTTGACGAATTTTTCGAAATAAGGTATTTTACATTCTTACCATATCTGGTACAACTACGGCACTCCTCTGCCAAATTCACGATGTCCTTATTCATGTGTGGCCACCACAGATATTGCGCTGCTCCCAACATCGCTTCCTGTCCTGGGTGTCCCCGATGTATTCGTTTCAGGACAGCTTGTCGTAGTTGAACTGGTACTGCTAGCCGATTATTCACTAAGATGCAGTCGTCCTGAACTGCCATCTGAGACCACAACGGATTTGTATAGGGTCCCATCAGTTCGAATCCCTGTTTGTCCCCTCTCTCTATCACTCTCCTGAGGCGGTCCATCCACGTGTCTTCTGTGGTCAGTTCTGCTAGTAAGTTCCTGTCGAACAGCTTTGCGAGGTTGTCCAGAGTCTCTACTTGTTGCTGCTTTTGCAGCCTTAATTTTCCTAGACCCTTTGGCGGTTGGATTGAGCACACTTCTTCCTCACTCTCCGCCTCTTCTGTGGTTGTTAGGTCAACTTCTATTACGTTCACCTCACTGAGTTTTCGTTCTGTCGATGCGATCGGTTTTGACGATGTTGGATTGAAATCGTTTTCCAGATTTTCTCTGACTTCTTGAGTATCGGCCACCAGTTCTCGATTTTCCTGGACATTGTTTTCTCCGCCTATTAATTGCCAGAAAGAGAGCAATCGTTGGTCCGCTATTCGTTGTTGTTCCGGTTCCAGTGACCATTTTACTCGTTGTTGCTGACGTGTTTCGCTGTCTGAACTGTCCCTATTTTTTCTTCCTCCTCGTATAATCTTTCTTGTACGTTGTACTGTCTCTGTGATTTCCTCTTCTCCCGAGAGTTCGTTGTTGGTGGAAAATGATCGGTTCCACTTTGGGTCCATTAAGCTTTCCTCACGCTCCTCATTCCGCCAATCTTGTGGTGAGCTGGACCACCAGTCGTAGGTTTTGCTTGTATTTTCTGACATCTCGATTCTTGAGTCTGTTTTTCCTATTTTGTTCAGTACTGGTCGTTTTTTTATTTTGCAATTTTCTGAGACTGACTGTTTGCTGGGTTGATTTGACGAAAAAGTGAATTGTTTCTGTTGAACTGTTGTGTTTAGCTGTTTTTGCAGTCGTGGAAACTTTTTTCTCTCGTTCCGGTCGAGCTTTGTTCGGTTTTGACCGTTTTGGTTGCTATAGCAACCATTACTTGATGACTGTTTCCTAACATTCCTTCTAGAACATTCTAGAACGTTTTCGTTCCGGTTGAGCGAACTTGAATCTTTAAGCCTACTGTTCCAGCAGTCGAACGCTTCATGAAAGGAGTTTATCGTAGCTACTACAAACTTTTCGTCTAATTCAGATTCGGGCCAGGGATCATTGAAAGGATCACGCGATAAATAATCAACTATACCCATGTCCCTCCCCGGAATGTGAACTATGTTGAACTGATACGGCAGTAACCGGTCAACCCACCGGGTTAAACGTGACTGATAGGTCTTGTTTGATTGATTAACATCCAATGCTGTTGTAAGAGCTTTATGGTCCGTTGCGATGGTAAATGGTTTCCCCAGAAGATAGTGTTTATATCTGTCTACTGCCCAAACCACTGCCAATAATTCCAACTCATTTGTTGAGTATTTTTTTTCTTGTGCATTTAGGTATCGAGATGCGAACGAAATTGGGACCCACCACCCTTCATCATTTTGTTGTTCTAAGGTGGACCCTAGTCCCTCATGGCTAGCATCGCATTTAACTCGTGTTTGTCGATTTGCATCATAATAATGCACTTTCGTAATATTTGCCACAGCTCCTTTTATAGCATTAAATGCTTCTGTGTGAACATCCCCCCACTCGAATTTTTTCACCGGGAGTTTCATGTTTTTTAACTTTTTCTTTTGATTTTCTTCTTTAAGAAGAGGTCTTAATTTTTCTGTCAGACTTGCTACGTTAGGTATAAATTTAGCGAGATGATTTATACTTCCTAGAAATGACCTTAGTTGTTTTAAGGATTTCGGCGGGTTCAAGTTTACTACCGCTTCCGTTTTAGTGATCTTCGGTCTAACTCCTTCTTCTGAGAGATGATGACCCAGCCAATTCACTTCTTGTTTGAAAAATTCACATTTTGATAGTTTCAGTGCCAAATTTTCCGCATCCAATTTCTTTAATACTGCTTCTACTAGGTTGGCATGTTCGGTTTCACTTCCCTTTGACACAATAAGTATGTCATCCAGGAAACAGAATGTGTTTTTAGCATGATTGATGGTTCTATCCATAGCCTTTTGAAATTCAGCTGGCATATCTGCTAGTCCGTAGAATCCTGTCAAGAATCTGTAAGTTCCAGTTGCTTTTCCGCCCACAATGTTAAAATTACATTGCCTAGCTGTATCTGCAGCCAATTTTAGTTGACTGTACGCATATTTCAAATCTAACACCGAAAAATATAGCGTACCCTTTTTGTTTTCAGTTACAATCTGGCTTACCCCATCAATAAGTTCGTCTACATTCGGCATTTGGTATTTGTTTTTAAACAATTGTCTATTGATTGGTTTCGCGTCCATTGCCAATTTTATTGAGTCGTCCTT